GGTGTTCCAAGACCCGCTTTTCATGAACTCGTTTCCAAACCCTTTCTCAGGATCGTTGCCAAGACTCCGCTTCTCAGGACTCGTTACCTAAAGACCCTTCTCCGGCTTGACTGCATCTGCTCAAGCTCTGTACTGCCGAGCGCTTCTGCGCCGGCTACTCCTCTAGCTCCGCCGGTCGAAGAGGTCGTCGTCCTCCCCTTTTGCTCTTCTTCCCTTCTTCTTGGCCTCTTCTTAGCCGATCCCTTACCGATCTTGAAGCATGTCAGCGGCAATGCGCCCCTGATCCCGCCGGCCTCACCCCGGCCGCGTGCCTCACGGCCTCAGCCTCTGCGCACACAGAAAAGAACGTGTTAGATTTCTTCACGGCACACTCGTATCGGGAGGATCACAAGGTTTGAATTTGTCTGACGTTATTTCAATATAGATTCCAGGGCACTGCTATGAACCGACACAGCATATTCATACTGGCGAATATATACAAGGAACCGGTCAACAGATGGTCATGGACATTCGTTCCAAGAGTAAGGGTTTGAATCGTTCTCAATGATTGAATCCATGAATCTCTAGACCGATTTACCAGTTCACACATACACAAACAGAATGGTCTTGAGATCTTCAGGACACAATGGTCAAATTCTCTATCGGAAATCTAACATGAATCCAGATCTCTGCCATTGGACACACACAAATGAGTCGCGTTCTAGATTCTTTCAAGACAATCGTTTAGAACAGAAGGTTCCAAATTCATTCAAATTTTAATGCCAACAGAATTCCAATCTATTCCAATAAAACTCACAATACACAGACACGCCAAGGGCCAATCATGGAATATTTACCACATAATGTTCTAGAATTCCGCTCAATGTTAATCCAAAGGCGTAATTCCAGCCACTTCCAGAACGTTAGTTCGTTCAGAGACATCAATGATTCAATTCGGTCTAAGGTTAATGCCATAAAATTCCAGGCTACTGCCCAGGTGATACACATAGTACGCAAGAATCTGTCATTGAACTTTCTGGGTCATTCTTCAGAAGTCACATGGTGCAGATGTCGAACGTTAATCCAGAATAATTATAAGCATGTGGTTCATACTATATACACATTCAAGTTTCGGTCAGAGACGATTCTATTGAATAAATTATTCAAATTCGTCTAACTTAGTACTCGACAAGTGCAAGTACTCCACCAATTACACAAGGAATCCAATAGTCTAGCATTCGTTAGAGAGGAAATTCCATTATGGAGGTAATAATTCAAATCGTCTAACATATAATCCAATATGATTCCATGTCATCCGGCATACACACAAAAAATATACCTACGCAAAGTGGTTGTATCTTCCAGACAAGATTCGCGTGACAGAGAATGAAAAAGTGTCTAGTCTGAGCTGTAAACAGTCTACCAATATCATTCTTACACTTCTGTAACAACAGCACGACACTCAAGAAGGCCGTCGTTTAGGGTCTTCCATATGGCTATTAATGGAACAAATTTCGTCTAACTGTGAATCCATAATGATTCATTTCTGCCAGCACTCATACACGCAAAGAACCGCTCGATAAACCGTTCAGACATTTTGTTCAATGCGATAATGGGTTTCAAGTTCGGTCTAACGATTAATCCAATACTATTATAAGACCACCGTCAGGACCCACACAATAACACCATACATGATCTTATGTATTGGTCGTAATACATTCAGGACGTTCGTTCAATAATATAATAGGTTTTAATCGTCACAAGTTAATATTAACCATGATTCTGCTATGCTTGTACACACAATCTTCGTCACACAGGGGTCGTGAAAGTTTAACGTACATTCGTTCTTGTGAAATAAGATAATAATATAAGAATAATAATAAAATAATTATATAATTAATAATAATAGATAACTAATAATAATAATAATAATAATATATAATAATAACTAATAAGTAAATAATAATAATAAATAATAATAATAATAATAATATAATAATAATAATGTTTAAAGTTGCTCAAGTTTTAATCTCAAATTC